CTTGTTAAAAGAAGGTTCGAACTGTGTAGACTTATGCAACACGGAAGTGGACATTTCTCTCTCTCTCTCTCTCTCTCTCTCTCTCTCTCTCTCCCTCGAGAGTCACTTTTCAACAATTTGCCGAACATTCCTCCAGGTTGTTTTCTTTATATACATTAATGTTCCTTTTAACAGAAAGAGATGGCGTGTACGTGGACTGTTTCGCAATGTGCTTTTGTCTCCTAGCAGTAAGTCTTAGAGGTTTCTCCATTCCGTGTGGGTGGCTCTGTTTTGTGTTTAACAGTGACGTGGATTTCCACAGTATTATTGCATCGGGAGTGATTTGGAGGTGGGCGTTTGGCATATGGGTTAAGATGCCACCAGGGACTCCTGTGTCCATTTCTGGAGTGCCTGGATCAAGAGTCAGCTCCACTTCTGGTGCAGGGTCTTGGCTTTGGCCTAACTGAGACCTGGCTGTTGTGGTTTGCCGGCATTTGGAGAGCAAACCAGTGATGGGCTCACTCTCTCTCTCTGCCTTAAAATAAATTAAATAGATCTTATTTAAAAAAAAAATCATTTGCCAGGTTAACATATGAAGGCTACAAAGATGTAGTCAGTGGAATATAGTCTATTTCAATGCCTTCAGCCAACAACATTTCTTTCAAAGAAATTGTTTCATTTTTGTGGATGTTCTTTCATTTTTGTATTGGAAGAGCAGAAGACACACAGAGATCTTCTACTTGCTGGTTCCTTTCCCAAATGCCTACAACAGCCAGAACGGGACCAGTCTAAAGGCAGGAGGAGCCCAGAACTCTGTCCAGGTCTCCCATCTGGGTGGCAGGGACCCAGCTCCTTGAGCCAATCTGTGCTCTTTCACAGCTTTCGCCAGTCGGAAGCTGGATCAGGAACAGAGCGGCTGTGACTTGAAGCAGGCACTCCGAGAGCGAGTCTGGACTCTGGAGCGGCGGCTGAAGCAGCTGCGGCAGATGCCTGCCCCCAGGAAGCCGTTGAATCATCCCCGCCAGTCCTCACCTAGGTGCCTCCCGAAGGCGAGCCTAAGGCGATGACGTGGGTTCAAGGAGAGCACCAGGGAGGGCGGGGACCCCTGGCAGCACCAATCAGGGGGCGAGGAATGAGACGGGCAAGGCAGGCAAATCCGTCAAGGCGTGTGACGCATGCAGGTCTGCAGTTTGGGACGTCCTCTCTCCGCGATTCGTTAGAAGGATTCACGGCTCTCAGCAAAGCTGTTGACACTCATGATCCCCGTTGATGACAGCAGCAGGGTGTAGCCTGACGTCAGCCGGGTCAGGGGGAGCTGCTGCCGTCTGAGTGTCTGTGTCCCCAAAAGTTTGTTCCTTGAATGCTGATCCCTGCTATGTTGACCGCATGAGCTGAGTCATCGGACAGTGGTAGGGTGTTAGGATACAGCCCTCGTGAACAGGATTAGTGCCCTTGAAAACGAGGCTGGGGGCTGCCATCCCCCTCCCACCCCACGAGGACATTAATTTCTCCCAGTCCTGGAGGCTGGGAAACAGAGGATCAAGGCCCCGGGCAAATCGGGGCTCTGGTGAGGGCCCACGTCCTCATGCACAGCCACTTCTCCTTGCATCCCCGCGAGGTGGGAAGCACCCACCACTCCTCTGGGCCCCTTTCAATAGGGCATCGGTTCATATGCACCTCCCAAAGGCCCCACCTCCCAACACTGTCACTTGGGGTGACAATTTCAGTGGAGGGCGGGGGGCCACATTCAGACCACGGAGCAATCGCAGGAGACACCGTGTGGCCCTCAGAGCCTCCCATAGTCGTTCTCTGTCCCCTCCGGAGAAGCGTGTGATCCCTGGGTGAAGGCATTGTTTTTATGATTGAAAAGCAGGCCGGCGCCGCGGCTCACTAGGCTAATCCTCCGCCTGCGGCGCCAGCATACCGGGTTCTAGTCCCGGTCAGGGCGCCAGATTCTGTCCCAGTTGCCCCTCTTCCAGTCCAGCTCTATGCTCTGGCCCAGGAGTGCAGTGGAGGATGGCCCAAGTGCTTGGGCCCTGCACCCGCATGGGAGACCAGGAGGAGCACCTGGCTCCTGGCTTTTGGATCAGTGCCGGCTGCAGCGGCCATTGGAGGGTGAACCAACAGCAAAGGAAGACCTTTCTCTCTGTCTCTCTCTCTCACTGTCCACTCTGCCTGTCAAAAAAAAAAAAAAAAAAAAAGACTAAAAAGCTGAGAATGACCAAAAAACAAAAGTACTCCATGAGGATGCATAGCTGGAGCTCGCCCCTCAGCCCACCCCGGGGGGCTCCAGGCAGCTTCCGTGGATGGTGTCCCATGTCAAACTCCACAGCTGTCTGCCTGGGCCATGCCTGCAGTCTGTGCTAACTGGGCCCCATGAGCCACTCAAGATCAGTGTGGCCACAGCATTCGTGGCATTTGGCTGTGGAAGCTGGAACACACTAAGACATCCGTTCTGCCCTTGTCCCGCCATAAAGGCGGGATAAAAGTATCAGGACAAATATGGGTTTAGCCGTGTTCCACCCAAGCTTCATTTACAAACGCAGGTAGTTAGCCAGGTTTGGCTGGGAGGCTGTGGTTTGCCAGCCCCTGCTGGATAAAATGTCCTTGTATGTGTTCGCCCATGTGTGCAGTTACACGGGAACACGAACTACATACTCCTCTAAAGTGGAGTCAAACTGCTCTCCCACCAGCGTACCTGACAGTGCTTGAGATGTACTTTTTAAAAAATGTATTTTATTTTTTATGTGTTAGTTGCATACATTTCTGGCTTACAATGTGATGTTTCCATAAGCCCCTTTCCCAAGGATGTAAAACCTATGCCAATTACAAAGGTTGTTTCTCCATTACCATTCCTTTTTTTTTTTTTTTTTTAATTTATTCGAAAGAAACAGAGACCTTTTGTCTACTGGTTCTCTCCCCCAAAATGACCAGGACTAGACCAGGGCCAGAGTCAGGAGCACAATTCAGGTCTCCCATGTGGGTGGCAAGTGCGTGAGCCACCATCTACTGCCTGCCAAGGTGCACATTAGCAGGACACTGGATCAGAAGCACAGCAGCCGGGACGCAAACCAGGCACTCGGACACAGGTTGCAGGCGTCCCAAACAGAGAGTTAAGCACTGTGCCAAATGTCGGCCCTCTTCATTGCCGTGTCTAAGCTTTGAAGAAGCACAGGAAGTGAGAACATTGTTCCGCAAGGAAAGAAGACCAAGAGGTTGCATAATGGATTCTTGTTTTAGATTCAAAGTCTACAGGGAAGGAGACTGGCAACTTGTTTTTATTTGGGAAGAGCAAACCTTATACTACCCACTCTGTTTAGTTAAAAAAAAAATCCATCCTGAGTGTTACCTATTCAAAAAAATAAATAAAAAAAACACACACACACACACTTTTTCCCCAGGTGCATCAGACAGAGAACTCATAAGCAATTGATTTTTAGTAAACAGATTCCACAAGTACAAGAAACATACATGGTCCAGCTTTTCTGCACAGCGCTGCCAAGCCCCAGATACCCCGGATAGAACTGTCAACCTGCTCTACTTAACTCTGCTTTGCCCTTGGTCTTTTTTGTTGTTTAGGCATTGGGTAGGGTTTTTGGTTTTGGTTTTCCAGTTTTCTTACCACTACCAGCCCCACCCTTTTTTAATCATTTGAAATTCTTGGTGTGAACCCCACAGAGAAGAACAGAGACTTGTTAGTATTCAGGCTCGGCTTTGGACTGCATATTTTAGCTGGTTTATTTGATCATCAGCGCCCCTCCTGGGACCCAGCCTGCCGTTGCTCTGCCCCTGCCGAGTGAAGCCGTGATATTTCCCCTTCTGTAGCCCTTCATTATAACACAGACACCGTCTGCTTCCACATCAGTGAGATGGCACGCTTGGACTGCCCACATGCAGATCAAGAATTAAGCAGAACTTGGCCAGGAAGATAAATCAGGCTAACCATCTCATTAGGCTTGAAAGACACAAGTTAAACTTGTGTTGGAATCAACACAGAAGCCTCTCCAGGAGGCGTGCAGCACATCTAGGGGGTGGAAGGAACTGCCATAACCGTGTCTTCCAGCAGACTCACCTCCGCTGTGTGCCACAGAGCAAACAGGAGGGCTCCTTTATAAACGCCCAACAGCCAGAAATGGAGACTCAAAATGCAGTGCGGAGGTGGGCATTTGGTCTAAGTTAATGCACCAGTTAGGACGCCCGTATCATTTCCCAAGTCGTGGGTTTCTCTCCCAGCCTTTGCTCCCAATGCCAGCTTCCTCCTGAGGCAGTAAGTGATGGCTCAGAGAGTTGGGTGTCTGCACCCACATGGGAAACATGGGTTGGGTTTCCAGCTCCTGGCTCTGGTCTGGCCCTCGGTTATTACAAGCATTTGGGGAGTAAGCTAATACATGGGTGTTTTTCTCTCTCTCTCTCTCCCTCTCTCTCTCTCCTCTCTCTCCCCCTCTCTCCCTCTCTCCCTCCTATCTCCTCTCTCTCCTCTCTCCCTCTCTCCTCTCTCCCTCTCTCCCTCTCCTCTCTCTCCTTTCTCTCTCCTCTCTCGTCTCTAAAATAAATAGCATTAAAAATAAAGTATAATGTTTATTGAGCACTTCCTACATGCTAGGCACTGCAAGCTATGAATTTTACACACATAATTTAATCAAAACCTTACATAGACTTGTGAGGTAAAGTACTACTAAGGTTCCCCTTAACCCATAGGGAAACTGAGACTCAGAGAAATTATCTCATTTGCTATAAAGTCTCGGAGCACCCTAATGACAAAGCCAGGATCCACCCAAGGATGTCTTGCCCCATGGCTTAACCTACTGTTTCTCATCTGGGGTGAACCGGCCTTCCCAAGAGCCTTTGGCCATGTGTTGGATGCATTTTGGGTTGCACCAGGTGGGGGCGGGGCAGCTAGGGATGCTGCGAACCATCCTACAAGGCACTGATCATGCCCTAACAGCAGTGGCCTGTCTTTACAGCTGAGGGTTGTGTGGTCTAATGGCTGCTGTCTCCTCCCTGCCCCTCTGCCTCCACAGTGTTCGGCCATAACATGAAGACCAGCAACGACTTCATCGGAAGGATCGTCATTGGCCAGTACTCCTCCGGCCCCTCCGAGTCCAACCACTGGCGGCGCATGCTCAACACCCACCGCACCGCTGTGGAGCAGTGGCACAGCCTGCGGTCCCGAGCCGAGTGCGACCGCGTGTCTCCCGCCTCCTTGGAGGTGACCTGAGGTGACCCGCGGGGAACACAGCTTTCATATGTGGGGGAAAAAAAATAAACAAATGTGTCCCATCCTATTACATCCACACCTGCCTACACTCACACACATCCCCGAAGTCCTCTCTCTCTAGTGATCCCAGAGTGGCCGCCTTCGATGAGCGAGGCCTGAGAACTTTCCGGAAGCCCCATCCATAATTCATGAGCTGAGGGGCTCTCTGCAGTGCCTCTCTTGTTGATACCCTACCCGTAAAGGCACTTTCAACCCTCGGGCTGGAGAAGAGGCCTCCCAGAAGGTGCCAAGCTCCATTGAGACCCAGTTTGGCCAGTGTGTGGGAGGCCCGTCTCCCTACTCCCAAATCACACACCCTCTGGGGAACTTCTGTGCCCTGAGGGCCCTCACACCCAGTCCCTTTCTCCAAAGGTATAAGTATCCTCATCTTCTCCTTAGTAAATGTGATAAATAGGTTAGCCTATCTGGAGAAAGCAATGGCAACCAAAATGTTCCAGTATAAGAAACCCCCCTCGGCTTAACTGAATCTGTCCTTGTGTTAGCTTATTCCAGGGACTCTGCGTGTGTGTGTGTTCTCATGTGTGTGCCCTCCCAGGCGAACATGTGTGTGTGCCTGTGTGTCCTCTTGGCGAACCAGGGGATGGTTCAGGACCTGCACCCTGAACACTCCCTGCTTTCTGCTTCTCTCATCCAGTGAGCTGTCCCCCAGTGTCCTGCTGTCTGTCAAAGACCCCACCTTGGGCAGTGGTTATGTGTGCGTACATCAAGTTAGTAGGGTATGATAGAGCAAAAGTAACACTCTTTGACCGAATCATGGTGATTGTGACCCACAAAAGACCTGGATTTAAATGGCAACACATCCCATCCACGGGAATCTCCTTCCTTAATCACTTTCAGGATATTTCTCTGTGTGTGAACCAATGTCATGTCTCATGTGCTAAAGAACTATTGTAGTCTCTCTCTCTCTCTCTCTCTCTCAGAAGCTTCTGTATCTTTTCCCACAGTATATTGTCTGGTGTGATGGGGAGCTATTTATTGAAATTAAAGATTATTTATTTGTGCCATGCATTCAAGATACCTTTTTCTTCATGAACATGGGACACAGTGGAGGAGGGTATTCCGGCTGCCATTACTACAAAACAAACCATCCCAACCACTCACAGCAGTGATGTGGATCAGACCAGGTCTGATAGGAGGGTTCATCTCTACTCTAGCTGGGGCCTCGTCTGGAAGAGGGGAGGCCTAGGGGATGGAATCTTCTGGAAGTTTATTCCCTCCCCTGCATGGTGGTTGATGCTGGCTGGCAGCTGGGAGCTTGAGTTCTCTCCATGAGGACTCTCCATGTAGATAGCTCGGGCTTCCTCGCAGCATGGTGCCAGGGTTCCAAGGAAATTATCCACGAGCAAGAGGGACACAGGTGCATGCCATAGCCTTTTGATACTCTGTCCTCAGAAGCCACACACTCTGTCACACTGTCTTGGTCAGAGCGTTCACCAGCTCCTGCTCAGAGGAAGGGGAGAGAACAGGAAATGGAAGGGAAGGAGAGAGTTACGTTGGATGCAGAGCTTCTGAGATGGGTTCTATGTAGTGCAGCCATCTTTGGAAAAATACAGCCTGCCACAGTAGGTGCAGTCCAACAGCCAGTCCTGCTGGGCATGGCTCATGGCATTAGCATACAGCCCCAGAAGGAAGCACGGTTGCATGTGGAAGTATACCCATCTGAGGACTGATAGGAGGAGGCGTCCAAAGAGATGACCAGGTTCGATCAGGGTAAGTGGTGAGAAAGCAACAGAGGCGGATGGCCAGCCCGGGCCTCTGGCCGGAGCCTGTGATGGGCTGAATTATGTCTTCCGAGAAGGATTTCTGGAGCCCTGCCCTCGTACCTCAGGAGGTAACCTGATTTGGAGCATGGTCTTTATAAAGGTAAGTAGGAGAGGTCATTAGGTAGACCCCAATCCAATAAGGCTGGTGTCGTTGCAAAGAGAGGGAGGGGCATTTGGACGCAGAGACACAAGCACACAGCAGGAAGATCTGGAGAGAGAGGGAGAGACCAAGGAGAGAGGCCCGAGACCCACCTCCCCTGCAGCCTGCAAAAGCGATCAACTGTTGGGCATCACCTAAAACCTCCATTACAACATGGCGCCTGGCGGATGTTCGAGGGGCGTGTCTGCAGCTGCTGCAGTTAAGCTCCGTAAGATCAGACCACCAGCAGGGATAGGTCTGCTTTAGTTCCGGACACGTGGACAGTGCGTGATCCCTATACTTTACTTAAGGTGCCCCTGTGCGTGGTCCACCCATGCCTGCGTGACCTTTTCGCTGATTGGCTCCCCTACTGCGCATGTCCTTCGTAAGCTTTATAAGCCTGTACACTTCCTCAATAAAGTGGTTCCTGCTTCGACAGAACTCACGGGTGCTTGTGGTGTGCTCATCACCTGTCTACCTTACCTCTCCTGTTTGCCTTATTGGGGAGAGTCTGTAGTGGCCCCTGCTGGTCAGGGGCTAGCACTGGGCTTGAGACCTGACAATCAACCCCACAAGGTGGGCATTAAGTCTACCAGTTAAGATGCCCACATCCTACATCAGAGTCCCTAGGTTCAATTCCCAACTCTGGCTCCTGACTCCAGGATCCTGCTAATGTAGACCCTGGGAGGCAGGGGTGGATGGCCCAGGTAACTGAGTTCCTGCCACCCATGTGGGAGAGCTGAATTGAGTTCCCTGCTCCTTACTGTGGCCCTGACCCAGCCTGGACCACTGTGCATAGTAGGGAAGTGAACCAGCAGATGGGAGTTTCTCTCTCTCCTTCTATCTCTTTCTCTCTTCTCTGGATCAAGATTTTTCGTAAGTGTAAAATAAAACAAGCAATCAACCCTTCCTGCACTTTGACTTAAGGCTTCAGCTGCCACAGCTGAGACACTGATAAATAATTGTACTGAACGTGTCTGGACTTTTTTCCTTGTTGTTCTTTCCTAAACAGTACAGGAAAACAGCTGTTCACATAGCCTTTGCATTGTACTAGAGATGATTTAAAGTATAAAGGAGCATAAGCCTACGTTCTGTGCAATTACTGCACCCTACATAAGGGACAGGAGCGCCTTTATATTGGGGTACCCACAGGGGGTCCTGGTACCCAGCCCCCACAGGTGTCATGCATTCTAAGCCAGCATGGCTAACAGCTCTGCTGGCTGTCTCGTCAGAAAACAGCCCTGTAGGACCGATGAGGAGTTTAGCTAGAAGATGCCTGCCATCTTCACGTAACTTGGACAGATGTGGGACACGTTGGCATCATCCGCATCTTGAGGACTAGAGTTTGTTGGGAGACGAGAGTGATTTGTTGAAAGGTGAAGGGAGATCTGAGTTTCTATAGAAACCTGGACCCAGGGTGCCCTGGCGTGGGCTACCTACTTGTTTTAATTAGCATCCTCCTCCTCCCAGGTGTCATGTGGGAGAAGAGCTACACAGGGCACTAATGCACTCTTCTTCCGGGCGTAGGGACCCCAGTGCAAAGACGAAGGGCAGGCGGGGAGTGGGGTGTGGGCGTTTCAGAGTCACTTGTGTCTTCCCAGGGCCATGCTGGGTCCTCACATCTCATGGTGGCAAGGCATTGTACTCTTCCCCCTGGGCAGCAGCCCCCAGTGCAGACCTGACCCCAGAGTGCCCCGGGATTCCAGCCCGTGCACTAGGACTTGACCTGGGCTCCTCCCCCTGCCAGCCCTGCTCAGCTCTCTGGGTACTGGTATTTTCTCTTCCAGAAAGCTGGGAATCGCTGCGTGGAAGAAGCTCTGCTTTCTATTGCTGGGTGGCCTGTTTTCCCACCACTAGGGGATAGTTGCCCCTTCATTTCCAAGTTCACGAGAAAGGTAGAGACAGAAACAGAGACTGACTCCCATCTGCTCATTCATCCCCCAAATACAGCAACAGCTGAGGCTGGGTCAGGCTGAAGCCAGGAGCCGGGAACTCAGTCCCATGTAGGTGGCAGAGGCTGAACTTTTTTTTTTTTTTTTTTTTTGACAGGCAGAGTGGACAGTGAGAGAGAGAGACAGAAAGGTCTTCCTTTTTGCCGTTGGTTCACCCTCCAATGGCTGCCACAGCTGGCGCTGCGGCCAGCGCACCGCGCCGATCCGATGGCAGGAGCCAGGTGCTTCTCCTGGTCTCCCATGGGGTGCAGGGCCCAAGTACTTGGGCCATCCTCCACTGCACTGCCTGGCCACAGCAGAGAGCTGGCCTGGAAGAGGGGCAACCGGGACAGAATCCGGCGCCCCGACCGGGACTAGAACCCGGTGTGCCGGCGCCGCAAGGCAGAGGATTAGCCTAGTGAGCCGTGGCGCCGGCCGAGGCTGAACTATTTGAGCCATCACCTGCTGCTGTCTAGTGTCTCCCCTAGCTGGCAGCTTGAATCAGGAGCCAGAGCCTGGTGTCAAACCAGGGCACTCCAATATGGGACCAGGGCACCTGAACCAAAACCAGAACCACTAGGCTAAATGCCTACGCCTAGATTCTGTGGTCAAAAATACCATTTGAAAACAACTCCGGAGTGATTAGTAGGTAAAAACTAAAAGACCATGCTTGGAGAAAAAGGAAGGCAGTGCCCTAAAAGTCAGCAGTGGCTATCCTTTGGTGATTTTACTACCCAAGTCTATACCTCCCTATGCAGTGTTTTCAAAGGTTCTGGAATAATCTAAGAATGGTTTAACATGCATCAGTCACTTGTGAGATGTCAAGCCCTTGTGTGAGAGAAATACTGATTTGTTCCCATTTTTCAGAGGAGAAAACAGAGGCTTAGAGGGATTAAATAGTCAGCGTGCGACCACGTAGCAGCAGATCTGGAATCTGAACGTGAGTGCATTTGAATTGGAAGCCATGAAATTAGGTGCCTTCTGTTGCCTCTTTTGTAATTGTGGTGAAATGGTCAGGACTTTGTTTAATTGATAAATATGTTTTTAAGGCTAAGGAATTAAGGGAGATAGGAAAAATAGATGGTAGGTAGGAATATGGATGGATAGATGTTGATAGAGATGATAGATGGTACATAGATAGTAGAGATATGAGTGGACGAGTGGGTAGATAGGCGATAGATGTATATGTGATAGATGATAGACTAGATATGAATCTTCCCTGAGCTCCAGGTTGTGTGTATGTGTGTGTGTGTGTGTGTGTGTGTGTGTGTAGCTGGGTGGGAGTTCACTATCATCAATGAATACAACTTTTTTAAAAAGATTTATTTATCTATTTGAGAGGCAGAGTTACAGACAGAGCGAGGGAGAGACAGAGAGATCGTCCATCTGCTGGTTCACTCCCTAAATGGCAGCAACAGCTGGCGCTGGGCTGAATCAAAGCCGGGAGCCAGGATCTTCTTCCGGGTCTCCCATGTGGGTGCAGGGGCCCAAGCACTTGGGTCATCTTCCTCTGCTGTTTTCCCAGGTGAATTAGCAGGGAACTGGATTGGAAGTGGAACAGCTGGAACTCAAACCGGCACCAATATGGGATGCCGGTGCCAGGGGCAGCCGCTTAACCCGCCGTGCCACAGCACCGACCCCTGTCCACTTTTAAAAAGGATTTTTCTTGGCCTGCTTTGGACAACCCCCTCCATCCTCCCAGTCCAGTAACACTCAGAGGGATGTTGCTATGGTTTCAAGTCTGCTCTTCCAGAAGTCACATTGAAATGTCAGTGTTACTGTGTTGGTATTGGGAGAGGGGCCCTTTAAGAAACGTTAAGTCTGGAGTCAGAGGCCTCAGGGGTGACGGGGGTGGGTTTGCCCCCTCTTTTCATCACCTCACCCTCTCAGCTTCCACTGTGAGATGACACAATTGGAAGATCAACGCCAGATGCCAGGACCTTGATATTGGACTTGCCAGTCTCCAGAACTGTGAGCCTAACAAGTGCTATTCGTTATAAATTACTCCATCACAGGCATTCCTGATGGCAGCCAGAAATGGTCCAGACAGGCATGTCGTTTCCAGGCGGGCCCGGGGACGGGACAGCAGGGGCCTCCAATGGGCAGCGAGGGGAGAATCCCCAAGCCTTCTTTGTAGTATTTACATTTGGTATCAGCCTTTAAGCATGCCAATTTTGGAGTATGTGTTTTAGTATAAACATAATATATTAGTACAATATGTAGTACCTACACATCACATGGATGCCTGACCCAGTCCTTAAAAAAAAATCTTTCAAAAAGTAGATGCAGTAAATGCTTGTCATTTATAAATAAATAAATATACATGCTCAGTGGGTAGCATCAGCAGAACAATTTTGGGGACAACTGGTATACCTGAGGCCTGTAACCAGCTGGAGGTGGGGCTGAGTCAGGCCTCAGTGGACTTTCAGCTCCAGTGCCAGCAGGGCCAAGTGGGCACTGGCTAAGCTATTCCTCACAGGCAGAGCGGCAGAAGACGAGTAACTTGGAAGCCGAAGTGACACGCTGCATTGCTCCCCATAAATGCCAGCTACAAAGTGTCAGTGCGCCTGACTGAGCATTTTTGGAGAGGAAGTGGGAAGGTGGTGGGGTGATGCTGGAGGAAGTCTTGCAGTAGGTCCATGAGGATAGCACGATTTGTCTAGTGTCTCCCCTTGCAGCCTCTGTGCTAAGTGGTGTAAGGAACAGCTGTGTTTCCTCTCCTTGGGGCGGTGGGGATGCATTGTATCCCCCATTTTAACGAGGGGCACACGGAGGATCGGAGAGGCAAAGTGACTCCCCTAAGGCCACAGGATGTGAAAGAGAAAGCAATTCTGGCTTTTAGAAAGAGGCATTCTAGGGGCTGGCGCTGTGGCATAGCGGGTAAAGCCGCTGCCTCCAGTGCCGGCATCCCATATGGGCACCGGTTCGAGTCCCGGCTGCTCCACTTCTGACCCAGCTCTCTGCTATGGCCTGGGAAAGCAGTAGAAGATGGCCCAAGTCCTTGGGCCCCTACACCTGCATGGGAGACCTGGAAGAAGCTCCTGACTCCTGGCTTCGGATTGGCACAGCTTCAGCCATTGTAGCCAACTGGGGAGTAAACCAGCAGGTGGAAGACCTCTCTCTCTCTCTCTCTCTCTCTCTCTCTCTCTCTCTCTCTCTCTCTGTCTTTCCCTCTCTGTGTAATTCTGACTTTCAAATAAATAAATAAATAAATATTTTTTAAAAAGTATTTTTCAAAAAAATATGCATTATGTATGCCGGGGATGAGAGCCCTATGAAATGTCTGCAGATTTAAAAGTATTTAAGCCAAAGCAACCCCTCAACAACGCTGTGCACTGATGGTGACATTCTCTGCTGTTTGCTGAGCACCTACTCCGTGTCACACTCTGCATGGAACCTTCTACAGACACCTCCTTTTGACATCCCTGGAGGGACCCTGAGAGACCAGGACAGCCTGGGGAGTGATGAGACAGGGGAGGAAGCTGACTTACCTGGACCTCCCCCGGGGAACTGACACTTGCAGGCATCACCTGAAGGGGGCGCTCTTTCTCAGCTCCTTGCAATTACTATGCTATGGAAGTGAGAATCAAGTCTTACCAGATCTTCAGTTTCACAGAAAGCCAAAAATCTAAAATCTCCCCAAGTCTCCTGATGTCATTTTTTAAAAAAAGATGTATTTATGTATTTGGAAGGCAGAATGAGAGAGAGAGGAAGAGATACAGAGACAGAGATCTTCTATCCGCTGGTTCACTCACCAAATGGCCTCAGGAATCAGGGTTGGGTCAGGCCAAATCCAAGAGCCTGGAACTCCATCCGGGTCTCCTACATGGGTGGCAGGGACTGGGGCATCCTCTGCCGCTTTCCCAGGAGCATTAGCAGGGAGCTGGGTCAGAAGCAGTGCAGCCAGGACTCCAACCAGCAATCCAATATGGGATACCTGCACTACAGGCAGCAGCTTAGCTCACTGGGCCACAGTATCAGCCCGTAAATCCCCCAATTTTGCACCCTGACCACAAACTTTTAGACTTCAGAACTGTGGGCCCCTTGGCACCTGATGGCCCAGGAGTGCTCTGTACCCACGGCTGACTCCTGTTTTACCATCTGGCAAACGCAGAGATGCAGTGGATCCTGGGTCGGCTTGGGATGTGGGCTCCATTACTATCCCATCTCACAGAGGCAGACGCTGAGTCCCAGAGCACCGACTCGCCTGCCGCAGGCCCAGAACAGCCTAGAAGCAGGGCCGGAAGCGAAGGGCTCGGGAGGGGAGCCGACCTGGGGCTGCTTTGCTCTCAGCTGTCACTCTGAGCTGTCTCCAGCAGGGCAGAGTGGAGGGGAGGAGACACGGGGAGGAGGAGGAGGGGACTGGGGTCCACCCTGTCTGTCCCAGCTCCCGACAGGCCCCGCCTGAACCTGGGAGGGCAGTTGTGGACCCAAGCTCCGGCCGCAGAGCCCCTTGTCGTCTTCCCAGGCTGCGCTGTGGTTTCTCAGGGCTCAGGATGCAGAGGTGGGGGTTGTGGGCCATGGCCTCCCTGACCCTTCTGTCTGCGAGGGCCTTTCCACCAACGGACATCAATATCAGCCCAGGTGAGCACGGGGGCGGAGGTTGGGAGCAGGTGCAGAGGAGGACAGCTCCGCGGGCTTGAGTGTGAGGCCTGGCTGCCTGGGCCGCGGCCTGCCTGGCCACAGGGGTGTTGGAGGGCACCGACTGAGCCTCCGGGCAGTGTTCCGTCCTCCAGGCCCCATCACAGACACTGACCTAGACCCAGGCCCCAGAAGCCTAGAGTATAAGTCCCGTTTTTGTAGGTTTCAAGCTCTGTGGCCCGGACAAGTTCCTCTGAGCCGCAGCTTCCCTGGAAAGTGGAGGTGGGGGGGGGGGGTGCTGCTGCGCAGGGGCAGCGAGATGACGCGGCGAAATGCTTGGCACAGTGCCAGCACCACGTGCCGCTCTGCAAATCGTATTCTTGTGTTTAGGTTTGGCATCTGGGCCCCCTACCCTCACCCTGGAGGTTAGACATGAAGAGGACACAGCTGTCCCTTGTGTGGCCTTCCCGGAGGTCTGGTTCGTGGCTCCCAGCCCTGTGGGTTGTAGGGGGTGTCTCCAGAATTGGGGAGCCATCAGTCTCAAGCCTGTGGCCTCCCAGTGTCCCATGTAGAGGACCAGGTGCATCTTCTGCTTTGGGAAAGGGAGGGTGGGGTGCTGGCTCCAGGGGACCCCCCACCTCGGGTGCAGAGGGTGCTGAATCCTGCAACCTCCTTATTTCTACTGGGATCTTTGCAAACATTGTCTGAAAACACATAGGTATTTTCTATTTAAGAGGCAGAGACAGAAGAGAGAGAGAGGGAGAGAGAGAGAGAGAGAGAGAGAGAGAGAGAGAGAGAGCTTCCATCCTCTGGTTTACTCCACAGATGTCTGCCATGGCTGGGGCTGGGCCCGTCTGAAGCCAGGAGTGGGAGCTCAATGCAGGTCTCCCACACGGATGGCAGGGACCCAGCCTCTCGAGCCATCACTGCCGCCTCTCAGGGTCTGCACTGGCAGGAAACTGGAATCAGAAGCCGGAGCCAGGAATCAAACCCAGGTCTTCTGATAGGGGGCTCAGGCACCTCAACCATACAAGCTCCCTCTGCTTGTACTGTTACAGAGCTGTCTATAGAGTTATTAGTGTCAGTCCCCATGACTGTAACTTATGCAGCCCTTCGCATGGGCCAGGAACAATTCTGACTTACTCAGTCCTCACAGTAACCCTGTGGCAGAAATATTGCTTTTTATCCTCACTAAATTAAAGCTAATAATGAAATACCTAGATGGAAATTCTCATCAGGCCACAGTTATTGGGCTGTTACAGTGTGGGAGTGAATTCAAACAGAGTTGCTAGATAAAACACCAGTAAATAAATACCAGTAAATCCTTTTTTAGTGTAAGTGTGTCCCCAAGATGGCATAGGGCATCCTTATAATAAAAATTATTTGTTGTTGATCTGAAATTCAAATTATTTTTTTTATTTTTTTATTTATTTATTTGGGAAGCAGAGTTACAGACAGAGAGGGAGAGACAGAGAGAAAGGTCTTTCAGTTGCCGGTTCGCTACCCAAATGGCCGCAATGCCTGGAGCTGGGCCGATCAGGAGCCAGGAGCTTCTTCTAGGTCTCCCAAGCAGGTGCAGGGGCCCAAGCATTTGGGCCATCTTCTACTGCTTTCCCAGGTCATAGCAGAGAGCTAAATCTGAAGTGGAGCAGCCAGGACAGAAATCAGCACCCATATGGGATGCCAGCACTGCAGGTGGAGGCTTAGCCTACTATGCCACAGTGCTGGCCCCTGAAATTCAAATTTTACTGGCATTCTTTTTTTTTTTTAATCTGAGAACCCCCGTAGTAAGGGTGAGGGGAAGTCCTAGTTCACGCTAGCACAGCAAGGGCTTCAGCTCTGCAGAAACTCAGTGCACAAATCAGCAAAAATCCCAGGGCCTCGCCTCCTCTCCTCTCCTCTCCTCTCCTCCCCTCCCCTCCCCTCTCCTCTCCTCTCCTCTCCTCTCCTGTCCTCTCCTCTCCTCTCCTCAGCTGCAGACATCTGTGGCTCACAGTCATGGAGGCCAGAGGTGCAAGATAGGAAGCCAGCACATCCGGGCTCTGGTGAGGGCCGTCCTCCTGACGTGCACATGGCGGGGGCTCATATGACACAGACAGAAAGCACTGCTCTCTCTTCCTTTTCTTATTGTCTCTTATTTGTTTGAGAGGCAGAGTGACAGAGAGAGAGGGAGACAGGGAGAATCAGAGAGAGTAAAAGATCTTCCAATGGGGCCAGCGCTGGCATAGCCAATAAAGCTCCTGCCTGCAGTGCCAGCGTCCTGTATGGGCACCGGTTCGAGTCCCGGCTGTTCCACTTCTGATCTTTCTCTGCTATGGCCTGGGAAAGCAGTAGAAGATGGCCCAAGTCCTTGGGCCCCTGCACCCATGTGGGAGAGCTGGAAGAAGCTCCTGGTTTCGGATCAGCACAGCTCCGGCTGTTGCAGCCATCTGGGGAGTGAACCAGTGGATGGAAGATCCCTCTCTCTCTCTCTATCTCCCTCTGCCTTTCAACTCTCAACTCTGCTTTCCTAGCTGTATCAGCAGGAAGCTGGATGGAAGTGGGGCATCCAGGACTCAAACTGGTGCTCCAACACAGGATGCCGGCGTCACAGGCAGCAGTGTAACCCACTGCACCGCGATGCCAGCCCCTCTCTTCCTTTTCCATAATGGCAATAATAATAAAACTTTCATGTTACGTCCACACCTACTTACCTCCAAAGGCCGTGCCTCCCAACACCGTCACACTCAGAAGGAGACTTCCAGCCCACAACAGTGTCTTTGTGACCTTGCTCTTGGGCCTTGGTTCCCCTCTTCCCCAGAGAGAAGGTGGACGAAATGTGTTCGAAGGCTTCCCTTGTGTAGCCCAAGCCCCTGCCTTTATGCCCAGTGTGTGTGGGAAGGGCCTGAGGCTGGCTCTGAGTGTGAGGAAACGACCTCTCTCTCCCTAGTTTTTTGTTGCCCACCGTGCCTCTCTGAGCCTCAAGTTTTCTCCTGCAGAAAGAGGGTCAGAGGGTGCCTACCAAGGCTTTGGGGAACTTCACAGAAATCCTGCAGGTGAAGTGCTTTGCACACAGCACGACCTGAAAAATGAGAGCGAGCGCCATTACCACTTCTGGCCCCGAGCTTGGCGATGTTGCAGTAGAACTGGCCAGGGCAGTTTCCAGCAGTGACGAATGGCTTCATCACAGAAAGGAACCTCAGACGTCCATCCGCAGGCCTCACACTTGGCTGACGGAGAAGGGGACTGAGACCGCACCTGACCTGGCAGCCTTGTCGGTCTCAGAGTTGGAAGGAAGAGTCCTGGAAACCCATCCAGTCCAAGGTTTTCTGCATCACCACTGCAGAAATGGACTACGGAGGCCAGCTGACCTGGTCAAGGTCATTACTGGTCCAAGTAGCCGTTCTGCTGCTCCCCAGGCTCCCAGCCCAGCAAAAAGCTCAGCTGGAGGTGGAGCAGATAAACCCTGTAGACTGGAGGACAGGGGTTTCAACCCAGAGAGAGAGTGTGAGTGAGTGAGCATGACACTGTGTGTCTCCATGGGTCCTTGCACACCCCAAAGCCCTCCCATTGGTGGGTAGCCCTGGCCTTTTTCCTCTACCTTTTGGAGCAAAACAGAACAGGTCACTCACCCCTCTGCAGCAGACCTTTTATTGCCTACCCTCCGGACATGCAAATATATGCAAATCATACAACTCAGCCACACCCCCAGGTTTGCTGTAGAAATAAGCAAAATCTCTGTAGACCCCATTGAGAGACTTGCAAGGATTTCAGCAGATGAGCTCCTGTTCCCAACACCTGTTCTATGAACTTGCCTTTGATTGTATTGTTTAAGCGGAGTAGCAAGTGTAAAATGCTTAGGGCAGTGGCGGGCACCTAGGAACGTGCCTAAGTTATTGCTGTTATGTAACTCTTCAAGCATCAAAAGCATCCCTCTCCCCAGACCCTGAGCCTAGAACTCCCCACAGCAAAGCAATTGTAGCAAAGTATTTAGAGCTCAGGGCCTATTTCCTCAGGGCTCCAGGGGGTGTAGATGGGGGAATAAGTAGAAGTTCTGTGGTCTTTTCTTCTTCCCTCCAAAAGCCAGCATTTGGAAGGCCCCGGGTCCCAGGCTCTCTCTGCTGCCATCGTATCTAATGTTCACTAGAGTCGGGCACTGCTCTCACGCCCCCAGTAAAGGTGAAGAAAATGAACTATACAGCTGAGTTTCCAGCAGGCGCTATCTGATGCCGGCATCCAAGCTCTTTAACCAGAGCCCAGAGGCCTGGAGAACTCCTGAAGCCGACTCCCTCCTGGGCCGCCCCTTAGACACTCTGGCCCACACCCGCTCCACCCCTGTGGTAACAGAGCATCTAGAACCTGTCTTCACACATGCTCACTGTCGCCACACACGTATGTTCCTCCGTCCAGACTCCGCAACTTAAGGCCACAGACTCCAAGCCAAAAAGGCCTCCAGGAAACAATGACGAACTTGCTTACTTAATTAATCATTACATTTGGTATTTAATATGCTTAGTTTGCAAATGAGAAAGCCAAGAGCAGGAAAAGGTGTTTGCTGTAGAGTCGAGGAGTTTCCAGGTAGTCGTTAGACCTGAGTCGCAACCCCTCGCTAATCCTGGGAGCAAGGTTCTTAACCTCTGGAGCCTCAGCTTCCTCACCTGTGAAATGGGGCTGATACTAACGCCGCCTATAGTTTAGTCTCCAGCAGTCACTTCTAAGCACCTAACGAGCAAGGCAAGACATCGTCCAGCGCTTTTGCTTCTGCACCTTGTGTTGTCAGCTCTCTGAGCCAGGGCAGTCTGGCAGCGGGATGGGTGATGAGGGTGACAGTGTGTCCTCCAGGCCCGCTGCAAGCATCCAAGGCCCAGAACAGGGACTGGGCAGACAACTGTGGCCCCAGAATCTCCCCACCCCCGTCCCCTGGCTGAGCCTCAAGGCTGAACCGGGCAGGAGGCAGAGTGGGGGGTGCGTCTGTGGGCGGCTGGCAGAGTGGGGGGACCAGGGGACTGAGCAGCCAGAGTGAG